CAGTTAGGATGGTATTTCTGGGCGCAGAAAAAGACATAAATCTAAAGATATTTTATGGTGTTATCTAGTGCACACGTGAATCTCACTTGTTAGCTCATCCAACCCACACATGTGATGTGAATAAACAAATTTTAAGAGATAAGGATATCCCATTATTAAGGAGGACTTATGGAATTTATGAGCTTGGTAGTTAAAGAGTTATTGGGTAATTTATTAGCTTCTTGGTAGTTTTTTAATTGATGAGAATTTAAGAGCCTCTTAGAAGTTATATGTGAATTTAATAGCTTCTTGGAAGTTGGAGAGTCTTTTGTTTTTAAGTATAAATAAGATAAGAGAGAAGAAGCCAAAGGGAGGCAATAAAAGGCAAAACAAGGAACTCATTTATTCTCCATTTTTCTTCCTTTCATCTTTTCAAGGGTTTCCTCCATAGCCAAGCTCAAGAGAGTGGCAAGGTAGACGTTCGAGAGGATCTAGCACGCTAAGTTTCTGTTCGTGGTATTCCGAGGAGAAACCGGAAGCACGTATTGGGAGTTTCTTCCACTATTTTGCTTTTATTTTCATTCAACAACTTGGGTTGTATGGAATGATTTATTCACTTGGATATTTCAAACTCCACTAAGAACTAAACCTTATATGGTGTGGGTTTTATGGATGATTAAGTACTTGTTTTAATGAACATTTTGAGTTTCTATGTTCGTCTATTTGTTTTTCTCACTGTGCTTAATGACTTAAGATTGTATAAGGCATGAGAGTGTCCATTTGTTAAGTAAATTGATTAGTGTTCAAGAGAAACTAGGTTATAGATCCTTAGTGTTCGAGAGAAACTAAGGGAGGATCTACATGAGCAATGGGTTTTAGTTGCTAACTGAGAGCTAATCCATCTTAGAGATAAGGATAGGAGTTCATGACTAAAACGGGTAGCACTCATTCGATAGGTTCGATGTTACTGTTCACGTCGAGAGGTATTGACGTGACATTTTTATCTATCAGGTCCAATGACTAGAGATAGCGTAGGGGCACTCTTAGTTAACTCTATTGAGCAAATAAACCATAGAAGCTTGAATCATTCTGAGAGGTAAGGCTTAGGATTCCTTAGTAACCCCATCATTCATTCCCATAGTAGCTTGTTTTTTTGAGGATTATTAAGTCTTCTTATTTATTTCTAAATTCTCAACTCATTTTACCTTGACATTTTCAGTTGTTACAATTTAAAAACATGTCCACTTGCCATGACATTTCCATCTACTACATTGTCACATTGTCATCACAATTCGCAATCACATTTCCATAATACCATCCGCATTCATTTTATTTCACCACATTATTCTCATTTGTGCATACTACCACACTAACTATACGTAGATAATTTAGTATTTGTGCTTTAACTTAACTTTTAATTTCCTTCAATCCTCATGGGAACTATACTCACTCACTCTTTAGTACTTGTTCGATTGTGTATACTTGCACATAATTTGCGTCTATATTTTAGTACTCACAACACGCAATAAGTTTTTGGTGCCATTATCGGGGATTGACAATTGAAAGTTTAGTAGTTTTTTTATAGCATTTTTATTTTACTTATTTATTTCTAGTATAGTTTTACTTTTTATTTTCTTTATTTTCTTTTTCAGGCTTTGCCATTGCATGTCCATAAGGTATGTTAAGGAACATCTTTATCCTCTAGTACCTGAGATTGAACAACTTTTCAGACAAAGGAGATGTGCTCAACGTGCTAATAGAGCCATGAACAAAGATCAAAATAAAAGTGTTCCACAAGTGCAAGATCTAGCAGATCCAAATATTGCGGCAAATCAGAATGCTGAAATTGTGCCCCGACCCTAAGTTATTCGAGATCACTTAACTCGTATCTTGGATGATCTCAATCTAGGCATTGTAGCACTCAAGATTCATGCAACCCACTTTGAACTTAAATAAGTCATGTTCAACATGTTGAACTCGATATGAAAATTTGGTGTCATGCCTCACGAAGATGCAAGGCAACACATTCGTGCTTTCTTGGAAGTTTGTGACTAATTTAGGTAAAACAGAGTGCATGAATATGTGTTGAAGCATAAATTATTTCCTTATTCTTTGCGTCATCGAACGAGGGTTTAGTTGAGTGGAATTCCATCTGGCTCGTTGGAATCATGGACTGATATGTGTAAAAGCTTTTTGTTGCGATATAATCCACCGAACATGCATACTCAACTCATGAATGACATATAATTTTTTTTTCAAGTTGATGACGAGTCTATGTATGAATGTAGGGACAGATACAAGAGATTGCTTTGAAAATGTACTAATCATGGATTTCAAGATTGGACTCAAGTTGTGATGTTTTATAATAGAGTCAATGCACCCACTAGGATGATGCTAGATGCCTCAGCAAATGGCGCTTTGCTAGATAAATCACCTGAGGAGGCTTTCGACATTCTTGACAGGATTACCAAAAATGACTACCAGTTTCCTTCATCAAGGCTTGGAATAGGAAAGAAGGCACCAGGGACGTTGGATCTAGATGCTAAGGATTCAATCTCATCCCAATTCTCCGCTATTACAAACATGTTGAAGAATTTGCAACGTTTCAATAAGGTGAAAGAAGTGAAGGTGGCCAACTCAACATGTCTATTATGTTGTGGCAATCACCATGAGAGTGAATGCCCGGACAATCAAGAATCCATCAACTGTATGGGCAATTTCAATCAAAGTAATAAGAACATCCTCTACTCCAACACCTACAACCTAGGATGGTGTCAGCATCCTAATTTTTCGTGGGGAAATCAAGGAGCCAATAATGTTAGTCATCCAGCTCGGCAATAACATATGAACGAGCCCCAAGGTTTTCAATCAAATATGCCTTGGCATAATTCTAACAAGGGGCAATGTATTCATCCAATACCAACTCATTAGATGCCACCATGCAATAATTTATAGCAAGCACGAGGACTATACTACAAGAGCATTGTACACCTATAAAAAATCAAGGAACATTACTGCAAAGTCGCAGCACATTACTGCGAGCTTTGGAGGGTCAGGTTGGTTAAATTATCACGAAATTACAAGAACATCAGCCAGTTTGTCTACCAAGTGGCACTAAGGTAACTAAATCTCATAGAAATGAGCAATGTAGTGCACTAACACTAAGGATTGGCACCCAAATCAACCAACAAGAAAAGTTTGGAGGAATAAATATCGATGATTCCAACCCTGTGAATGTTCAAGAAGAATCAAAATTGACAAATTGGATACTCGGGGAGAAGGACAATGATGAGGTTTCAACAAGTGAACCTACTGATGGGGCAAACAGAAATGCCACAACAAAAGTAGTTTCCACACCATCAGTCGAAGAAGTCAGGCCCCTACCATCCTTCCCTTAAAGGTTGAAGAAACAGAACGATGATGTGCAGTTCAAAAAGTTTGTTGACATTCTTGACAAGCTTTATATCAATGTCCCACTCTAGGAGGCCATTGATCAAATGCCATCATATGCTAAATTTCTCAAAGAAATTATCACCAATAAGAGAAAAGTAGAAAAGTCTGAGACAATTACCACCACAAAAGAATTATGCTCTGCCGCCAAAGTAAAAGGATCTGGACAACTTTATCGTTCTATGTTCTATAGGAAACAACTATGTTGGGAGAGCCTTATGTGATCTTGGATCGAGTGTGAAGTTGATGCCCAAGTAAGTTTTGAAGCTTAGGATGGGAGATGTGAGACCTACATATGTTATTTTACAACTAGCCGATCGATTCCATGTTTGTCTTGAAGAAATGATTGAAGATATTATAGTGAGGTTGGACAAATTCATATTTCCAATTGACTTCCTTATACTTGATTGCGAGGTTGATTCTAATGTACCCATAATTTCGGGGAGTCATTTCTTAACAATGGGTCGCATTCTTATCGATTGTGAGAAGGGTGAACTCACGATGTTGGTAGCTGATCAAAGTATGACCATGAATATCTTTCGTTCTCTCAAGCATGTGGATGATTATGAAAAATGCCTTAGCATTCTGGAAATGAACTCAATGATAGAAAGGGAAGCAGAACAATTTTGTCACAACAATGTCATACAGTTGGAAAAGCAAGAAAATTTCTTGGAAGGGACAACAAAAAAGGGTACGAAGACTTTCCATTGAAGGTACAACAGTCTATCTTACTCTCAGCTAGACCAGACATGTGTTTTGAACCTCTTGATTTTGATGAATTTATTCCTCCTAATCCCTCACTACAACATGCACCCAATTTGGAGTTGAAAACTTTCCCACAACATCTTAAATATACTTACTTAGGTTAGAATGACACTTTGCGTGTGATTATTTCTTCTAGTCTTAAACCTGACCAAGAACATAGTTTGCTAGTTGTTTTCTCACAGCATAAAAAGCGTTAGGTTAGACTATGGAGGACTCAAATGGGATAAGTCCTACAATTTGCATGCACAAAATTTTGCTGGAAGAATGTTACGGTAATTCCATAAAGCCACAAAGAAGGCTAAACCCTGTCATGAAGAAAATAATGATGAAGGCGATTATCAAGTGGCTTGATGCATGAGTTATCTACCCAATATCCAATAGTTCGTGCGTGAGCCTGGTACAATGTGTCACCAATAAAGGAGGCACAATCGTTGTGAGCAATGAAGATAATAAGCTCTTACCTACACACACTGTCACTGGATAGAGGATCTACGTAGACCATTTTCCTCTACCTTTCATTGATCAGATGCTTGATCAATAAGGCTATCAAGTTCAATAAGGCTACCAAGAAGGACCATTTTCCTCTTCCTTTCATTGATCGAATGCTTGATCGATTGGCGGGAAAATGATACTATTACTTTCTAGATGGATATTCGGGGTACAACCAAATTCACATAGCACTGGAGGACTAAGAAAAGACAGCATTCACATGCCCCTATGGAACTTATACTTTTAAGAGGATGTTCTTTGGTTTATGAATTGCTTCGACAATTATTCAACGATGTATATAAGCTATTTTATCATACATGGTCGATAACTTTTTGGAAATATTCATGGATGATTTATCCATCTCTGGAGATAGCTTCGACAAATTTCTTGGCAATCTGAAGAAGGTTCTCAAGCGTTGTGAAGAGGTTAACCTTGTGTTGAATTGGGAAAAGTGTCCCTTCATGGTGACTGAATGCATTTTGTTAAACAACAAGATTTCACAAAAGGGTATTGAGGTGGATAAAGTTAAAATTGAGGTCAATGAGAAGTTTTCTCCACCAACTATAGTCAAGGCCATTAGGAGTTTTCTTGGACATGCTAGTTTCTATAAGAGATTTATTAAGGACTTATCCAAAATTTCCAAGCCCTTATGCACCTTGATGCAACAAAACCAACTTTTTGTGTTCGATAAATTTCGTAATGACGCATTCACAGAGATGAAACAGAGCCTTATCTCAGTACCCATTATTGTTACCTCATATTGGACATTGTCATTCGAGTTGATGTACGACGCGAATGATTATGCCATGGGAGCAATGTTAGAGCAATGCCGAGGTAAAATCTTTCATGTCATATATTATGCAAGTCAAACTTTGAATGAGACACAACATAACTATACTACCACTGAGAAAGAATTACTTGTCGTGTTAATTGCACTTGATAAGTTTAGGTCATACTTGATAGGCACCAAAGTCATTGTTCACACTGATTGCTCAACTATCAAATACTTAGTGAATAAGAAGGATGCCAAGCCTAGACTTATTAGGTGGATACTACTCTTTCAAGAATTTGACTTAAAGGTTGTTGATAGGAAAGGTACTAAGAACCAAGTTGCTTTCCATCTTTCTAGGCTAGAGAATAATTCAAAATGTCATGATAATTTGGACATTAAAGATGAATTCCCTTATGAGAAAATCTTATATGCCACAATAATTATGTGGTACACCAACATTGTTAATTTTCTTGTTAATAGTATTTTGCCTTATGAAATGAACAGCCAGGGAAGAAAGAAATTTAGGCACGATGCACGATTTTATTTTTGGGATGAGCATACTTGTCAAGCGATGTGTCGACCAGATGATCCGAAGGTGTGTCCCCAAAGATGAGCAACCAGATTTTATATCATTGTCACACGGTTCTATATGGAGGCCATTTTGGAGGTGCAATGAATGTTGTAAAGGTCTTTCAATCAGCCTTCTATGGGCCTACCCTTTTCAAGGATGCATATGCATTTTACAAGGCTCACGATAGATTCTAACGCATAGGAAACATCTCCAGGCAACATGAAATGACATTGTACAATATCTTGGAGATAGAGCCTGTTGATGTGTGGGGTATCAACTTCATGGGACCCTTTCCATCATCTTTTTTAGATTTATATATCTTGCTGGCAGTGAACTATGTGCCCAAGTGGGTTGAAGCAATCGTGACGTAAAGGAATGATTCCAATATTGTGCTTAAGTTCCTTCATAAGTACAACTTCATGAGATTTGCCACACCTAGAGCTAATATCAGTGACGAAAGTACCCACTTTGACAACAAGTTAATTGTCAAGGGATTGCAAAGGTATGGGGTGTGGCATAAAATTGCCATGGCATATCACCTTCAAACCAATGGGAAACTGAAGTCTCTAATTATGAGATCAAACATATTCTAGAAAATGAGTTGAACCCCAAAAAAAGATTGGTCACTGATAACTTCGTAAAAAGACTCAATTTCTAGTCTTTTCACTTAAGTTATTGCTCGTCTAAACAAAGTATGCACAACATTTTAGTTGCATTTAGGTTATATTTTCTTGTGGTGGATAAGTTTTGCTTCAGAAAAATTTATTTGGTTTAACTGATGTTACTGAGGAGAAAGGGTTTGTGTGGATTGTATATGTGCAGGAAACTTACAGAGGAAGAATATTTCAGTCGTAACAACGTAATTTGCAAGGGCCAATGGAACAGAGAAGAACGTGAGAAGGAGATTTAATTCGCCAAGGCAAGGTTTATCTGAAAAGTCTGAAGTGGGTATTATGAAATTGCCTATGTCACATGCCAACTGGATGACCTTCTTCACGTGTAAGCAAGCCCTAAATATTCTGACAACCACCAACCATCTTTTCTTTTTAGTCTGGACGAATAATAACAGTTATTTAAGAAATCTCCAATCATGTGAAACCCTAGGAGATTCTTCCCTATAAATATACAGCCGTAGCCACCAAAGAAAAAAAGGAAGAAGAGAGAGAGCTTTACTGAAGATGATAGTGAGCAACTGCAGTGCTTTCCCACCATTTACCAACTGACCTCTTTTGGTGTCCTCTATAGCCAGACTATAGTAGAGTGGTGATCAGGTCTCGAGAGAGGCTGATCACCAAGGCAGACGCGATGTTGATCAAAATTATCACGACAGAGCCCCTAATTTTGGGAGTCGTTCTTCCTTTGTTCTTAATTTCTTTATATATTTGGGGTTGTATAAAACGATGATACTTAGATGAATTTTTGATAGCACCATGACTGTCTTACTTGGTGTTAATCTTTGTTTTGTCTAGACAATTATTTTCTGCTTTACGAATGTTGAATTTTGATTTTGCTAATGATTGTATTGTTCATTGTTTGAATATTTTACCTTGACACTATAAGATCTTCGAGAGAGTGCCTGGGGTTTTGGTAAAACATGTCTTACAAATGTAAGAGCATCGAGAGATCCCCTTTTATCTAGATAGTGATTCTTAGATTCGAGAGAATTAAGATAGATCTACGTGAACAATGAAATGGATCCAGGATAGTGATGCTCTAGCTTTTCTACCTTAGAGATAAGGAGCGGGTTTCAATCGACTAAAAGTGATAGACACTAGAGTAGGATAGCAAGGACTATAGTTTGCACTGAGAGGTATTGCTACAACAACAGTCTGAAAAACCAAGGGTTGTAGTTAAAACTGAGTAGTATTGTCGTAGCAACCGTCTAAGAATACTTAGTAATCCTGTCGAGCAGCTTAATCAAGTCATAAAAATTCATTCTAGACTTAGAGTAATTGTTGTCAATGCAAAAGATTAGCATAAGTGCTCTGTGATAAGTCAAAATATGTGAGGTTGTTTGAATTATATTTAAATCAACATTTGTCTTATTTTGTTTTATTTCAGTAGTTTGCATATTTATTTTGTCTCGACCAAACTTTTCTGCAATCATACATTATAGTATTTCCTTGTTTTAGTAATATTAGCTTTTTAGTTTGACAATATAGTAGGAATTAGCTTGTGACAACTAGTTATGGTTGTGGTGAAGATTAAAATTCTAGACCAATCCTTGAGGAGACGATAACTCACTTACCCTATATTACTCGATTCAATTGTGTATACTTGCACAACATTGCTTGCCTTAGCATATACTAGCGATCAAGTTTTTGGCGCCGTTGCCGGGGATTGGTAACTGACGAAATTTTTATTCGTCGTAACAAGTTTTTCTTGTCACCCTATATAGTATAACGTAGTTTATTATTTTCTTTTATAGGATTTTATTTTTGCATGACCCTGAGATCTGATGGTAAACCATTGGAACCATTTGACCCTGAAGTTGAATAATCGTTCAGACAGAGACTACGTGACCAAAGAACCCGAGAACATTTAAACCAACTACATTACAAGGCAACAACATGGGAGATCTAGGAGATCCTGATGAAGCAATTAATCTTGAAGTTGCAAGACCAAGAGCGATAAGAGATCATTTGAACCCAATTCTCGATGACCTCAATCCATGTATAGTGTCACCTGAAATACAAGCAACTCATTTTGAACTTAAACCGGTGATGTTTAATATGCTAAATTCTATTGGCTAATTTGGTGGTTCACCTAATGAGGATGCTACACAATATATTAGTGCTTTCCTTGAAGTATGCGACTCGTTTCGACAACAAGGAGTACATAAAGATGTGCTTAAACTAAATCTTTTTCCTTATTCCCTACGCGATAAAGCGAGAGCTTGGCTCAGCGGAGTTCCTTCAACTCAATGAAGTCATGGGAAGATTTATGAAAGAGTTTCCTACTTCAATATAATCTGCCCAATATGAATACACAGCTTCACAATGACATTGCAAGTTTTCTCCAAGGAGATGATAAATCAATGTACGAATGTTGGGATAGGTATACAAGTCTACTTCGCAAATGTGTCAACCATGGATTTTATGACTGGACTCAAGTAGTGATGTTTTATAAAGGAGTTAATGCACATACTCGAATGATGTTAGATGCCTAAGTATATGGCACCTTACTTGACAAATTACCCGAGGAAGCCTTTGATATCCTCGATAGGATAGCAAATAATGATTATCAATTCCCAAATACAAGATTGGGAACCGGCAGAAAAATATCTGGAGCATATGAATTAGAGGGTAAGGATTCGGTAGCTGCTCAACTTTCTGCCATAACTAATATGTTGAAAATTTTGCAACGTCCTAATGAGGTAAGAGAAGTCAAGGTGACCAATAACGCACACATATTTTGTCACGAAAACCATCATGAGAGTGAATGTCCAGAAAACCATGAGTCAACCAATTTTGTGGGCAATTACAACCGAGCAATAATAACCCCTATTCAAACACGTACAATCCTGGTTGGAGACAGCATCTGAACTTTTCATGGAGCAATCAAGGGAATAGTAATAATCAAGCAACAAATTACAGGAAACAGTAGACCAATTCAGACTATCAACATTTTCAAAATCAACATCATCAACATCCTTGGAAAAACAATAAATGTACAACTTCTTCCTCTAATATTAATTCCAATACTAACTCCTTGGAGTTGTCATTGCAAGAATTTATGTCCTCGACAAAAGATTTCATGGCCTCAATAAAGACCTTGATGCATGAGCATTCTGCAACAATTAAAAACCAAGGAAATTTGTTACAAAGCCAAGCCACACTTTTGCAAAGCCATAGTTCATCTCTAAGAGCATTGGAGAATCAAGTGGGCCAAATTGCTACGACATTACATTCTTGCCCACAAGAAAATCTCCCTAGTGATACTGAGATCACTAAACATCATGGAAAGGAGCAATACAGTGTACTTACACTAAGGAGTGGAATATAGGTCAACCAAAATGACAAGTTTAGGGCAAAACACCCAAACAGTCCTCGCCATGACATAACACAACCAAATGATCTAGTTGAAAATGAGGAACGAGATGAAACGCCTGAAGAGAAGGAATAGAATGGAGGCTCATAAAAAACATCATCCAAATAATGAGAAATTCATGGCCAAGGAAAGAGATTCCTCAAAACCAACATCAGATAATGTGAGACCTCCATCACTGTTCCTTCAACGATTGAAGAAGCATAATGATGACATATAGTTCAAGAAATTTGTTGATGTTCTGGACCAGTTGTATATCAATGTGTCCTTACTTGAAGCCATCGAATAAATGTTTTCCTATGCCAAGTTTCTTAAGGAAATCGTTACGAAGAAGAGGAATGTAGAACATGTTACCACGAGAACAAAAATCTATTTTGTAGTAAGCAAACTCCCACCAAAACAAAAAGACCTAGTCAGTTTTATAATACCATGTTCAATTGGTAATGACTTTGTAGGATAAGCACTTGTTGATTTGGGATCAAGTATAAACTTGATAACAAAATCCATATTTATGAAACTAGAATGGTAACTCGCTTGTCCAACCACAGTCATCCTACAGCTGACCGATTGGTCTTATGTGCGGCATGAGGGCATAATAGAAGATGTCCTAGTAAAGGTGACAAATTCGTATTTCCAGTTGGTTTCCTCATCTTGGACTGCGAAGCCAATGAAAACGTACCTATCATTGTGAGACGACCCTTTTTAGCCACCAGAAAAATCCTAATAGATTGCGAAAATGGAGAGTTCACAGTGTGAGTAGAAGAGTAAAGCGTCACCATCAATGTATTCAAATCCATGAAATATGTGGATAACTCATAGGAATGCCAATGCATTAGAAAAGTAAAGGAAAAGGCAATCCTTGGACATGATGGATCTTTAAGGCTAGACGAATACAGTGCTTTGTACTATGACCCTACAACCAAGATGCACGAACAAGAAATCTTTGGCTCAGGTGAATTATGTTCAGAAGATGATTATAAGAATTATGGCCCTGACAACATAAATCTGAATAAAGCACACAATGTGTGTCCTGAAAACGAAACCAATACAGGATACAAAGGAAAGACAAAGGAACAATCGAGGCTTCTTCATAATAGATCAGGTATGAAATTTGAACCCTTAGATTATGATGAAGTTAAGTCTCTAGAGATATATTTACAACATGCACCGAAATTTGAGCTTAAAACTTTGCCATCACATTTGAAGTATGCATACTTAGGAATTAATGAAACTTTACCACTAATAATTTCTGTCAATCTAACCTCCGAACAGGAGAATAGTTTGTTAAATGTTTTATCACAGCACAAAAAGGCTCTAGGATGGACAATGGAAGCTTGAAGGGAATTAACCCTACCATATGCATGCACAAGATCAATTTATAAGATAGCCATAGTACTTCAGTGGAATCCCAAAAAAGGCTCAACCAGATCATGAAGAAGGTAGTCATGAAGGAAATTATAAAATGATTGGATGCGGGAGTGATTTATCATATATCTGATAGTTCATGGGTCATCCTGGTGCAGTGTGTGCCAAAGAAGGGTGGTGTGATCGTGGTTAAAAGCGAACATGATGAGCTCCTCACTAGTAGAACAGTCACAGGTTGGCACATATGTATAGATTACAGGAAACTTAATAAAGCGACAAAGAAAGACCATTTTCCCTTACCTTTTATCGACCAAATGCTTGATAGGTTAGCGGGAAAAGCATTTTATTGCTTCCTCGATGGATACTCAGGATATAATCAAATAGTCATAGCATTAGAGGATCAAGAGAAAACTACTTTCATATGCCCGTATGATACATATGCATTTAGACGAATGCCGTTTGGGCTGTGTAACGCTCCAACTACCTTCCAAAGATGCATGATGGCCATCTTTTCAGATATGGTGGAATAATGTATGGAAATATTTATGGATGACTTCTCCGTCTCAGGTGATGATTTTAACCGATGTCTCGACAATTTATCCAAGGTACTGAAACGATGTAAAGAAGCCAACCTAGTACTAAATTGGAAGAAATATCATTTTATGGTAACCGAAAGAATAGTGTTGGGTTACAAAATTTCATATCTAGGCATTGAAGTCGATAAAACCAAGGTGGAAGTAATCGTAAACCTTCCCCCACCCACCAACGTGAGAGGTGTACGCAATTTCCTTAGACATGCAGGCTTCTACAAGCTATTCATAATAGATTTGAAGAAAAAACTTTCGACAACACCAATAGTTATCCCACCTGGCTGGATCGAACCTTTTGAGATCATCTGTGATGCTAGTGATTATGCAGTCGGAGCAGTGCTAGGGCAACAAAAAAGTAAAATCTTTCATATTATCTACTATACGAGTCGTACTATTAATGATGCACAGGTAAACTATACCACCACAGAAAAATAACTTTTAGCAGTAGTATTTGCATTCGATAAGTTTAGGCCATATCTAATAAGCACTAAAGTAATTATGCATACATATCATTCTGCCATTAAATATTTTATCAATAAAAAAAGATGCAAATCCTAGGCTAATTCGATGGATATTATTACTACAAGAGTTTGATTTAGAGATCAAGGATAGATAGGGTACATAAAAATCAAGTGGTAGACCATTTGTATAGACTAGATAACAAATCTGATTGTCATGACATAACAAAAATTCAAGAGGATTTCCCTTATGAGAAAATATTCTTTGTCATGGATGCGCTGTGGTATGCTAACATAGTTAACTTTCTTGTTAGTGGTATTGTTTCTCCTGAATTATCTAGCCAAGGCAGGAAAAAGTTTCGACATGATGTGTGACACTATTACTGGGATAAACCATTTCTATTCAAGCAATGTGGAGACCAAATAATCCGAAGATGCGTTCCAGAAGAAGAGCACAAAGAAATTCTACTTTAATGTCACTCGTCACCGTATGGAGGGCACTTTGGTGGAATGAGAACAGCGGCGAAAGTACTTCAGTCCGGATTTTATTGGCCAACCTTGTTCAAAGATGCACATGAATTCTATAAGTCATATGATAGATGCCAACGAATAGGGAACATATCAAAACGACATGAGATGCCATGTTAAAATATTCTGGAGGTGTAACTTTTCGACGTATGGGGAATAGACTTCATAGGACCCTTTCCCATATCATTTGGAGATTTGTACATTCTCTTGGCAGTGGATTATGTATCCAAATAGGTTGAAGCCATTGCAACCCCTAAAAATGATTCCAAGACGGTGCTAAAATTTTTGTACAAAAATATATTCACACGTTTTGGAACTGCACGAGCTATCATTAGTGATGAGGGCACACATTTTGATAACAAAATAATTTTCAATGCATTGAAACGATATGGAGTGTGACATAGGATTGCTATGGCATACCACCCTCAGACTAATGGATAAGCCGAAGTGTCTAACCGAGAAATCAAATAGATCCTTGAGAAAGTGGTCAACCTAAGTCGAAAGGATTGGTCGCCAAAGCTATATGAAGCACTATGGGCCTATCACACAGCGTTCAAGACACCGTTGGGAATGTCCCCGTTCAAACTGGTCTACGAAAAAGAATGCCATCTACCTATGGAACTTGAACATAAAGCCTATTGGGCCATCAAAAAGTTAAACATGGATGCTCAGCTTGCTGGAGAAAGAATACTCTTGGAACTAAACGAGATGGATGAATTCAGAGCACATGCATATGAAAATTCTCTCCTATACAAAGAGAAAACAAAATGATGGCATGCCAGAAAAATATTGCCTAGGAAATTTTATTCTTGACAACAAGTACTGCTCTACAATTCACGTCTTAAGCTATTCTCAGGCAAGCTAAAGTTACGATGGTTAGGACCATTCATCGTACATCAAGTCCATAACAATAGAGCAATATAAATAAAGAACCAAGATGATGGTTCCATTTTCAAGGTGAACGGGCAGAGGCTAAAGGAGTATAAAGGAGCCCCAGCCATGCGCAACAAATCGACATCAATAGCACATGATGCCCAAGAGTTTGTCTTACTTACTTGAACAAATATTCATTGCCTAGGCAATAAAATTTTGAATTTTGCATGCAGCGCACATGTGGCAGCATGGGGAGATAGTTCACGCATGAAAAGAGAGAAAACCCTAGGGCAAGAAGTTTGGGTGACAGAATTAAAGAGGGAAAGTAATCTTTTTCCCAACTTTACGTCCAATCAAATATCACTCAATAAATGCCAAATCTTTTCCCCTCGTGTTTTGACCAATTTACCCTAAATAAACCACCCATTATTTCCAAAAAAAAAACCACCCACACTCTATCTTCTTTATCGTGCCTTACTCTCTCTCTATAGCAAGAAACTTTTTTCTCTCTTTCAACTAAATTTCCTCAATCTCCGCCACTAATGTCACTACACCAAACAAGTATCATGGTCAGATCAAGGAAAACCTTAGCCCCAACACCGAGCTTTGAGCGTTTATAAACAGCCGAATCACGCTTCAAAATCCTCCAAAAATGACAAGTGTATTTGGAAGACAGGTTCGTCTTTCCATCAGAGGATGAAGAGCCATTTTGATCGGAGGTCGTGGATATGATTAGGAAGCACAACTGGGAGAAGTTTTCTCTCCACCCTAAAGCCGTAGCACCAGGGATAGTCAGGGAGTTCTACGCCCATCTCGAAGACCCGTCCAACCACACGGTGTATGTCAGAGGGAAACTCCTTCGATTTTTCACTTTGTCACTTAACAAATATTTCAAGTTAGGGAAAGTGGAAGAGCAGCAAAAGAAATTTGTGGCTGAGGCAGACCAGGAAACATACAGTGGAGTACTTGAAGATCTTTACTTCGGGTGGGCCAAGTTCAAAGGGAATTCTCCAACGAGGAAGAGAGTCGATCGTCGAGCCATTAAACCGATCGTTAAGTTATGAAACCATTTTATCAAGGGCAAGCTTATGCCAAGATCTCACAACACAACTGTGCTCGTGAAATGATACTCTTACACTCGATAATATACGGGAGGAAGATCGATGTTGGAGAACTCATCTTCGAGCAAATCCATGAGTGCACCAAAAGAAACTGGGGTAATTTATTATTTCCAAACTTGATAACTGCACTGTGCAGGAAAAAGAAGGTCCCCGAGAAACCCTTTGAGGATTTGATTAAATCCAATGAGGGTATCACCAAGATGAAAGTACTCGAGCTGATGAGTTTCGATGACAACACCCCGCATTAAGGTCTGGAGAGGGGAGCAAAATCTATTACTATGACCAAAATGGAAGAAATGGTTACGTACATGCGAGAGACACGTGAGAAGATAGGGAACCTAGAGGATCGCATCGAGATATTCTTCGAGTACATCAAGGCAAGGGATACATAACTCAACGCCTTTTTCAAGGAGTTGGTCCCGATCACAACCGATAATCTACCACCTTTCCCCAACGTCATTCTCAAATACACTGCAAGCGGTAATACATTACATGCCTTGACATCGAATGTCCCCCTAGAAGTACCCATAGACGTACCACCACTAGCCATCCATGTCTCACTTGTACCAGAGGAAGGCCATGGTGACACAGACGAGTTCCTCAGCTCCTCATCCTTCTCAACCTTTGAGAGCACTCAAGAGACTCCACCCAACTTCTTCTCTGATAAAGATTTCCCTCCAGCATCGCAATATCCCGGGAGAGGTCCCACACAATCCCCTGTTCGTCAAGCAACGCCAGTCCCTGAAGCAGCTCAAAGTCCAGCACCAGTTCCTGGACAATCGACTTCTACTGCTGAGCAACCAACTCCAACATGAGCCTCGACCAGCAAGAAACGCATCAAGCAAATGGCAGGTCATATCCTTCAGCCATCACCCTCGACGATAACAGCAGTAGACTCAGGATTAAAGAGTCTCTCTCCTCCCAAATGAGAACGAGGGCGTCCGGTTAAGCCACCCCACCAAAGTAAGTTTACATTTTAGTTTTTTTTTATTTTCGAATTTGCAAATAAATTCACATAGTTTTAGTTCTCATGCATTGAGGATAATGCATCCCTCAAGTTTGGGGGAGGTATTGTGCCATATTTTGCCATACTTTGTTAAAAAGCAAATGATGATATTTGGTTGAAAATTTTAGTTGTCATGACATAAGCATGTTAAGATTATTGTTTATAATAAATTAGGGATGCCCAATGATGAATGCATAATTTGATTGCCTAGGCTATAATTATTATTAAGACTGTCTAAAGAAGAGAACCAGCACTAGGCATGATTCTTTGAAATTTACAAACACGATTGTAGGATGTCCCTGCTTAAGGTAATCAGTAAAATTTTTAGGAAAGAACTTTCTTCTTGCCGAGACTTCAAAAATATTTTAAGGTTAAGGTGGAACTTCGTAGTGTTTAAAACTTGCAAAATTAAAGGGACGCTCCTCTATACAAAGGTATGAATAGAAAAAACTTCATAAGAAATTAAGAGTTATCGAGGCATATGATTGAATGAATGTAGTCACAGGATGACTCTACCCAATTAGCGTGGGTGTGGAAGGTATGCTCCCTTTCACCTAGAGTGTGGGATGCTAGGTGTGATGAGCTAACTTCCCAAAAAAAGTTGATAAATAACTAGGAGTATAAACTAAGCCTGACAAATAATTTGATGCCTTGACAAACCAGAATAACTTACTTTAGGTTTTCTAATTACCTTCATGCATAGACTGATTACAATCACGCACACACAATTGCAAGGAATCCTGACTAGGGAAGGGACTTGACTGATATGACTATCGAACATGTTGAGGCCAACTATTTTTGTTAAGGACTGAAATCTCAAACCATATGATTTTCTTAACAATGCTTTGCCATGACAATTTTAATTTTCTTCTAGCTATTGTACATTTCTTGAGGACAAGCAATAACTTAAGCTTGGGGGTGTGATAACTCCGTAAAAAGACTCAATTTCTAGTCTTTTCACTTAAGTTATTTCTCATCTAAATAAAGTATGCACAATATTTTAGTTGTATTTAGTTGCATTTAGGTTATATTTTCTTGTGGTGGATAAGTTTTGCTTCGGCAAGATTTATTTGGTTTGACTGGTGCTACTGAGGAGAAAGGGTTTGTGTGGATTGTATATGTGTAGAAAACGTACAGAGAAAGAACATTTCAGTCGTGACAACATAATTTGCAAGGCCAATGGAACAGAGAAGAACATGAGGAGAAGATTTATCTTGCCAAGGCAAGGTTTATTTGAAAAGTCTAAAGCGGTATGACGAAATTGCCTATGTCACATGCCAGCTGGATGACATCCTTCACGTGCAAGCAAGCCCTAAATATTCTGATAACCACCAGCCTCCTTTCTTTTTTTTAGTCTAGACGAATAATAATGGTTATTTAAGGAATCTCCAATCATGTGAAACCCTAGGAGATTCATCCCTATAAATATCCAGCCATAGTCGCCAAAGAAAAAAAATGAAGAAGAAAGAGAGCTTTGCTGAAGGTGTGAGTAAGCAACTGCATTGCTTTCCCACCGTTTACCAATCGAGCTTCCTTGGTCCTACATAGCCAGACTATATCAGAGGGTGATTAGGTCTCGAGAGAGGCTGATCAGGCGTGGTGCTAATCAGAATTATCATGACAGAGCCCCCGATTTTGGGAGTCGTTCTTTCTTTGTTCTTAATTTCTTTACGTATTTGGGATTGTATTAAACAATGATACTTGGATTAGTTTTTTATAGCACCATGATTGTCTTACTTGGTGTTAACCTTTGTTTCGCCTAGGTAATTATTTTCTACTTTATGAATGTTGAATTATGATTTTGCTCATGAATATTTTACCTTGACACTGTAAGAGCTTCAAGAGAGTGCATGGGGTTTTGGTAAAACATGTATTGGCAATGTAAGAGCATCGAGAGATTTCCTTTTATCTAGATAGTGATTCTTAGATTCAAGAGAATTAAGATAGATCTACGTGAACAATGGAATAGATCCGGGATGGTGATGTTCTAATTTGTCTACCTTAGAGATAAGGAGCGGGTTTCAATTGACTAAAAGGGTTAGATGCTAGAGTAGGATAGACAACGAATATAGTTTACGCTGAGAGGTATTGCTACGATAACAGTCTGACAAACCAAGGGTTGTAGTTAACGCTGAGTAGTATTGTCGTAGCAACCGTCTAAGAATACTTAGACTTAGAGTAATTGTTGTCAATGCAAAAGATTAACATATGTGCTCTGTGATAAGTATGAATATGTGAGGTTGTTTGAATTATATTTAAATCAACATTTGTCTTGTTTTGTTTTATTTCAGTAGTCTGCATATTTATTTTGTCTCGAACAAACTTTTCTGCAATCATACATTATAGTATTTCCTTGTTTTATTAATATTAGCTTTTTAGTTTGACAAGATAATAGGAATTAGCTTATGACAACTAGTTCCGGTTGTGGTGAAGATTAAAATTCTAGACCAATCCCTTAGGAGACGATAACTCACTTACCCTATATTACTTGATTCGATTGTGTATACTTGCACAGAATTGCTTGCCTTAGCATATACATTTACAAGCGATCAGTAACCAAAGATTGATAAACCACTATGGGCCTATTGCACTGCATTCAAGACTCCGTTGGGGATGTCCCCATTTAAGTTGATGTATGGTAAATGTCATCTCCCGATTGAGTTGGAATACAAAACCTATTGGACCATCAAGAAGCTTAATTTTGATGCCCAATTAGCTGGTGAATGAAGATTATTGGAGCTTAATGAGATGGAGGAGTTTAAGACACATGCTTATGAAAATTCTAAGCTCTACAAGGAAAAGACTAAGAAGTGGCATGATCAAGCCATTTTGCCACGGTATTTTCATATTGGTCAACAGGTCCTCCTCTACAACTCGAGATTGAAACTCATCCCGAGAAAGATTAAGTCAAGATGGTTTGGATCATTTGAGGTGCACCAAGTCTATCCCCATAGAGTTGTAGACATAAAGAATCTGGATGATGGGATAATTTTCAAAGTAAATGGCCAACACTTGAAGGCATACACTAGAGCCCCCATCGTGCTAGACAAGTTATCGCTTTACTTGCAGGATGCCTGAGTTTGAAAATGCCTTGACATTTTGCTTTTACTTCTATTTATAAATAACATTTATACTTTTATTTTAGTGCTTTATTTATTTTAGTTATTGTCCATGTCATTCTCCTAGGTGAATATTTTATGTTACCAATGCAAGTGACACCTAAAGTTGTCTACATCGTGTATGGAGAGCCCAACCAATGAGGAACCTGCATGAGTTCAAATCCCACCCACTGAGCCTTCTTCAGAATCAAAACCGAACTTGCCCCATTGAAGAGGCGCACAACGTGCAGCGCAGCTACCACATCACTACCACCATCTTAGAAAGCCAAGGTACCTTGTATTGCATTTCATAGCATGTAGTTTAGTTTATACTTTAGTTTATTTTGTTGTATTGAGGCCAATACACCCCTCAAGTTTTGGGGATGTATTATTCTTATTAGGTTATTTGCATGATAGGGTTAACTGAATTAATTTGCCAAGGCATTTGTAGGATTTAGGACAGTTTGTTGGAATAAGTTGATGATGTCCAATGATGATATTTTTCTTTATGACTAATGTGAACTGAATGTACGTGACTGTGGATTTGAATAGGATTTGCTTTAGGACTTAGCTGTTTGTGCTCTTAATTGTTACACGACTGTATGTTCTCTATGCTTGGGAATTTTAGAATTTTTTTTACAGAACGAAAGCTTGAATGCCTTATTGTGTATTAATGTGAATGAAATTAATTGTTAAATTAAACTCCCTTATGTTTGTGAATTGTGGTAAATTGCGAATAAATGATTCAGCATAACTGTAGAGGGGCACTCCTCTTTGTCATGGTATTTCCTTGATACTGCATTTTAATAAATGGCAGCCATAGGCATACGAGTGAATGAAAGTAGTCATGGGGTGACTCTGCCTGACTAGTTCAGGGATAAAAGGTATGTTCTCATTCATCTAGAGTGTGTGATGGTGGTTGTGACAAGCTAACTCCCCCGTAACAGTGCTAAAAAATTAAACTAATTAAGTGTTAAGGAAATGGGAGTAATGAACTTGTGCTTAAACTTGAAAACATGCTACGACAGAATAGTAGACTTTCTTTAGAATTATTCTAACTTGACTAAGTATAGATTGAATATAGTCACACACACACTCTTACAAAAGACCTTATCCTACGGTAATATTCTTGAAATCTCTTCTTTAACTTGTTGAACTTTGCCATGACATTTTTCTTTTGCTAACCACTGTCCATTTCTTGAGGACAATCAATAACTTAAGTTTTGGGGTGTTATAACTCCGTAAAAATGCTATATTTAGGTCATTTTCACTTAAGTTATTGGTTATCTTAAGGCAGTTTGAGATGATTGAGCATGAGAAAAATGCCACGGCAACTAGGATGACATTTTTAGGCGTAGAAAAAGACAGAAATCTGATGATATTTTATGGTGTTATCCAGCACACACATGAATCTCACCTGCTAGGGAATTTATGAGCTTGGGAGTTAGAGAGTTATTGGGTAATTTATTAGCTTTAAGAGCCTCTTAGAAGCTATATGTGAATTTAAGAGCTTCTTGGAAGTTAAAGAGTTTTTTTTAAGTATAAATAAGACAAGAGAGAATAGCACAAAGGGAGGCAACAAAAGGCAAAACAAAGAACTCCTTTATTATCCATTTTTCTTCTTTTCATCTTTTCAAGGGTTTCCTCCATAGCCAAGCATGAGGGAGTGGCGAGCTAGACGTCCGAGATGAGCTAGCACGTTAAGGTGTTGTTCGTGGTAGTCTGACGAGAAATAAGCAGCGCGCGTTGGGAGTTTCCTCCACCCCTATGCTTTTATTTTCATTCAATTACTTGGATTGTATGGAACGATTTATTCACTTGGATATTTTGTATCCCACCATGAACTAAACCTTATAGGGTGTAGGTTTTTATGGATGATTAAGTACTTGTTTTAATAAATGTTTTGAGTTTCTTTGTTCATCTATTTGTTTTGCTCATTGTGCTTAATTACTTAAGATTGTAGGAGGCGTGAGAGTGTCAATTTCTTAAGTAGATTGCTTAGTGTTCGAGAGAAACTAGGTTATAGATCCTTAGTGTTCGAGAGAAACTAAGGGAGGATCTATGTGAGTAATGGGTTGTAGTTGTTAATTGAGATCTAATCCACCCTAAATATAAGGATAGGATTTCAACGACTAAAAGGAGTAGCGCTCATTCAATATGTTCGATGTTACTGTTCACGCCGAGAGGTATTGCCGTGGTATTTTTATCTATCAGGTCCCATGACTAGAGATAGTATAGGGGCACTCTTAGTAAAATATGTCGAGCAAATAGACCATAGAAGCTTCAATCATTTTGAGAGGTAAGGCTTAGTATTCCTTAATAACTCACCATTCATTCCCATAGTAGCTTGTTACATTTCAAAAACATCTCCATTTGCCACGACATTTCCATCTGCTACAATGTCACATTGCCATCACAATTTGCTATCACATTTCCATGATACCATCCGCATTCATTTCATTTTGCCACATCATTCTTATTTGTGCGTACCACCACGCTAACTATACTTAGATAACTTAGTATTTGTGCTTTAACTGAAGTTGTAATTTCCTCCAATCCTCATGGGAACGATACTCACTCACTCTTTATTACTTGTGCGATTGTGTATGCTTGCACATAATTTGCGTCTAAATTTTAGTACTCACAGCACACAACACAAACCAATGTGCACTGTTTGGATTGAAGATGTTAAAATGTTAGAAGAAAGGTCGATTGTCTCCCCTTGTCTGCCAAAAATCAAGAAAGAAATCTGAAGATATGAATTGCTTTTGCAATTCTTACTAGAATGGATCAAGTCTTCGCTTAGCTATTAGCTAAAGAAAAATTTAGCCAAGCATGGTAAAGATCATGCTTGGCGTGTAGAAAGAAAGAAGATGGAGAAGAGAAATAACTTTATTAAACTAAAAACCTAAAAACAAAAGAAAAGCCAGAACCATTTTGAATTCTCAACTTGTACATCTCTCAAGCTTCACCCCTAGGGGTATTTATAGTCTTGAGCTAACCTAATGAAAATAAAATATTAACACTTAAAATATTCAAACTCTTAATTCTAACAAACTAGAAATCCTAATTAATAAATATTAAAAATCCTGAATAATAATAAACTAATAATTCTATGCAAACTAAATTCCTAATAAAATATCAAATGTTTGGTTCATCTTCCTTTCCTCCTTTGATCTTGTTACTTCGATTTGGATCGATCTTTGAATCTGATTGGCACCGACTTTTCCCAAATAAATAGGAAAATATGTTTAATTCATCTTTTAATTGTTATTTCCTAACAAATAGTCCTGCACAGATTCGAACAAAAACAGTCCAAATTAGCACTATAAAATGAAGTAACACGGATTAATTAATAACAAAATATTAACCGAATAAAAACTCATTATACGCCTTTTATGGCATTCAATTCTTTGGCAGCCTGCCATTTCAAAGAGATTACAAGTAAACTTCATATCTAATACTGTCTGTTGTGAAGATCCGTTCACCTTCATACCAAGAATTTTTTTTTTGTTTAAACTTATTTAAGGCTACAAGTTACAACATATTCCATGGAATTATTAATTGAAGTTACATAAAAATAGTTGTTTTTCGGTTTTTGTGTAAGATGTTACAAAATCCACTATGGAATTATTAATTGAAGTTACAACATATTCTATGGAATTATTAATTGAAGTTACATAAAAATAGTTGTTTTTCGATTTTTGTGTAAGATGTTACAAAACCCACTATGGAATTATTGATTGAAGTTACAACATATTCTATGGAATTATTAATTGAAGTTACATAAAAATAGTTGTTTTTCGATTTTTGTGTAAGATGTTACAAAACCCACTATGGAATTATTGATTGAAGTTACAACATATTCTATGGAATTATTAATTGAAGTTACATAAAAATAGTTGTTTTTCGATTTTTGTGTAGATGTTACAAAACCCACTATGGAATTATTAATTGAAGTTACAACATATTCTATGGAATTATTAATTGAAGTTACATAAAAATAGTTGTTTTTCAATTTTTGTGTAAGATGTTACAAAATCCACTATGGAATTATTAATTGAAGTTACAACATATTCTATGGAATTATTAATTGAAGTTGCATAAAAATAGTTGTTTTTTCGATTTTTGTGTAAGATGTTACAAAATCCACTATGGAATTATTAATTGAAGTTACAACATATTCTATGGAATTATTAATTGAAGTTGCATAAAAATAGTTGTTTTTCGATTTTTGTGTAAGATGTTACAAAATCCACTATGGAATTATTAATTGAAGTTACAACATATTCTATGAAATTATTAATTGAAGTTGCATAAAAATAGTTGTTTTTCGATTTTTGTGTAAGATGTTACAAAACCCACTATGGAATTATTGATTGAAGTTACAACATATTCTATGGAATTATTAATTGAAGTTACATAAAAATAGTTGTTTTTCGATTTTTGTGTAGATGTTACAAAACCCACTATGGAATTATTAATTGAAGTTACAACATATTCTATGGAATTATTAATTGAAGTTACATAAAAATAGTTGTTTTTCGATTTTGTGTAAGATGTTACAAAATCCACTATGGAATTATTAATTGAAGTTACAACATATTCTATGGAATTATTAATTGAAGTTGCATAAAAATAGTTGTTTTTCGATTTTTGTGTAAGATGTTACAAAATCCACTATGGAATTATTAATTGAAGTTACAACATATTCTATGGAATTATTAATTGAAGTTACATAAAAATAGTTGTTTTTTCGATTTTTGTGTAAGATGTTACAAACCCACTATGGAATTATTGATTGAAGTTACAACATATTCTATGGAATTATTAATTGAAGTTACATAAAAATAGTTGTTTTTCGATTTTTGTGTAGATGTTACAAAACCCACTATGGAATTATTAATTGAAGTTACAACATATTCTATGGAATTATTAATTGAAGTTACATAAAAATAGTTGTTTTTCGATTTTTGTGTAAGATGTTACAAAATCCACTATGGAATTATTAATTGAAGTTACAACATATTCTATGGAATTATTAATTGAAGTTGCATAAAAATAGTTGTTTTTCGATTTTTGTGTAAGATGTTACAAAATCCACTATGGAATTATTAATTGAAGTTACAACATATTCTATGGAATTATTAATTGAAGTTACATAAAAATAGTTGTTTTTCGATTTTTGTGTAAGATGTTACAAAACCCACTATGGAATTATTGATTGAAGTTACAACATATTCTATGGAATTATTAATTGAAGTTACATAAAAATAGTTGTTTTTTGATTTTTGTGTAGATGTTACAAAACCCACTATGGAATTATTAATTGAAGTTACAACATATTCTATGGAATTATTAATTGAAGTTACATAAAAATAGTTGTTTTTCGATTTTTGTGTAAGATGTTACAAAATCCACTATGGAATTATTAATTGAAGTTACAACATATTCTATGGAATTATCAATTGAAGTTACATAAAAATAGTTGTTTTTCGTTTTTTGTGTAAGATGTTACAAAATCCACTATGCTCGAGGTTGAAAATGAAGTGCCTTGCTTTCATCCAGACAAAGTCTTCTTCCAGGGTTTGAGGCATCAAGCTACCCTGAATAGAAGCCAAAGCAACAGAACCTATGCTTCCTCGATTTACTCAGCTTCTCAACATCATTTACACCCTTTTCATGGAAACCATTTGTCTTGGTGGCTCCATTTCCAAGATAATTCAAACCAACCTCGTTAGTCTCTGTTGGTATTACATTTTGCTGAGGCAATGCCGGTACTACTTTGTTATGGTTCACTTCCCTGGACAAAGAATTCGATCTTGCCGACCTGCAAGTACATCCGTAGACCGTAAAACCCATCATTAGCAGGCGTAATTTGGATTGACATGAAAACTGGGGAATGATGGAGAAGGTTAAAGATATGTGTAAATATCGTATTACCTTTCGTCATTAATGTCATTGCTATTCTTGGAGTCATCCAGGTTCTCCGTGAACATTTTGACAGCACCCTCAGCTTTTAAATAAACATCGTCTTCTGCAGCACAAATTGGGTCTTTGACAAAACCCTCTTCGAAATTTGGAGTTTCTGGATCAGAGAAACTAGGTGTCCTTTGAGTATTAAATCCGTACCGTCGTATTATTGAAATGGCCTTCTCCAATGTTCCTAGAGCTTCTTCCACCTCCGGGCGAATAGGAATCTTTTGCTTAGCATATACGCCAATTGAATCCGGAAATTTATTGGATGAAAGTTTATTTGCAGCTGTAATGCCCTCATCCAGGCATGTACTCCCTTCAGTTTCTTCTTCCTCAATTTCACCAAAAGCTTTTCTCTTTCTGTCTTGTGCCTTCTTCGGCGAAGATTCACCAGCAGGGTCATTAGCATGAACCGTCAGCTCCCCATCATGTGTGTTGTCTTGTTTGCCTTTAATTACATTCTCGTTCGGCAAAAGATCAGGTTCAGTTTTTAGCTCTTGGGCTTCAAGAACTTTGACTGATTTGTTACCGGAGTAAAGAGCTTCACGTATTAGACAAAACAGAGGCTCTCGCAAGGCCTTGCTGTAATCTTCATCGGTTTTAGTGACAGAAGCCACAGTCTGTAAAGCATTGAAAATTCGGAATGTGAGAGAATAATTGGCAGATGGTAATAATCAGCATTGGGAGAAAATAAAGTTCCTAATCCAAAAGTTCTCAGCAATGGAAGCTTTTCAGAAAAATTATGAGTTGCATCGATTTATAACCCCATCCAGGGTTTCAAATAGCGGTCGCGGTCGTGTTTCGGTCATTTCGGGTTTACCGTGATTGTGGCCGTCGCGGGCGCTATTGCGGGTAACTCGGACGGCAGCGAAACCTCTATTTCGCGGGCGCTATCATGTTTTCGCGGGTAACCCTGACCCCATCACTTCATTGCATACGGTGCCAACCCGAATGAGTGACACTTACTGGTAGCAATTAAAAAGGGAAATTAAGAAGTCATGTCAGAAGAATGTGTAACCTTTTGATAGAGTCTGAAACCGTTTCCGATAAGCTGCCTTGCGATGAAGTTTATAAGGGATGGAGGTACAAAATCAAGCTTCATATCCATATTTGCTATTGTCCTAGAAAGTTAACAACCTTTTAATGTGAAGAGGAGAAAAAGGAAATTATGAGCGAATACGACTTTCAAAATGTGCTATGGACACGGTTTCTACAGCCATAATCGCTATTGACCTTGCGGTATTTAAAGAGTTACAGCTTACCTGAAGTAGCTTCTTTCATTGTTCACCTTCTGCAATGCAAAGCCTCCAACTACATCAATTCTTACAACATCCTTTGCTTCAGGGATCCCATGATTAGTAAACCCATGAGTTGCTCTATCAATGCTGCTCACATCTGAGATCTAAAAGCATAAGAACATAAAAATATTTAAATAAAAATTTCCAGCCAATGGGAAGAAAGTAGATTGCAAATGAAGTGAAACCATATTCGAGTCTTTGAAGTAACTACCGTGTTCATAAGAATAACAATCAGATCATCTTGAAAGTACTCAAAGGAAAAAAAGTGTACTAGAGCCTCCCTAGCTGACAGTGGCCACGCGACCTTCACCCTTTCTTCCGAAAATACAAAAACAAGTAAGCATTTTACAATTCCAGGCTTCAATGTATTACTAAAAGAAGGAAACATATTTGAATAAAATGTTATGGTTCTAGGCTTGACAAACCTCACTAGAGCTATCTGTTCACCAATTCGGATCTTTCGCACACAGGTGGAACTAGTTACTTTGAAAGGTGGAAAGCTAGACTGAGGCCACCTAGGAAGAGTAAAAGAAGATTAGTATTCAACACTTTCTCTGTCCCATTAACAAAATCTTAAATCTAATGCATGTTATTCTTATATGTGTCAAGTGACCGTCTCCTTCCATCAGCCTGATGCGGAAAACTCACACCTATTTTTTTATTTATAAGTATACAAATGTAGACAAGAAACAGATATCGACAAAACATTCTGATTTACAAAGTTGAAGAAAAGAAATAAAAGTATGGCAGCAACATTAAAACAATAGCATCGACTTTGAAAGTTCTAGATGATGCCGATTTAAGGAGTTAAAAAAGAAAAACAGCATTTCAAATGAGATAATATTGATACTGCACCATGGTTTGGGACCAGATCCAAAAGTTAACAACTATAAAATCGTAGAGATATTTCTTCAACAACACGCAACCGAGGTCATTGATACGCAACACATAACTCACCAAAGATATAAAAAAGAATGAAACCGTGCAGGTTACAGTGTTTTAGCAGTCAATAAATAGCATGTTAATTCTACATTGGAATCAAGTGGAACACCAGAAACAATTCTCACCATTTCTTGTAGAGGGCCGACTCCCAAGAGATACATAAACCTGCAATTAAGTTACTATGAAAAAGGTTCCTTATACGAGGGCTGGTACTTAAGTCTTGAATTAATTTCAATTGCATAATTTTTTGCTCTTGATTTAGGATTAAGCTTGAAAACAAATAAAACAAGAGTAGAACTTACAAACATCCAAAGGCCCATCTACATAGCCTTCAACAAGTAATGTATGAAACGGGGTACCATGAGGTCCTTCACGGTACATTACACGGAACTCTTCATTATCATGCTTCAACTGTCAAAAAAAGGTTGACCGTGCATTTCAGTGAACAATAATCATGATTCGGAACATAAAAAAGTTTATTCCACTAAGATATGCTTACTAAAAGTCATTGATAGAAGTGAAATAAGGGAAACTAGCCAATAGAGCATACTTTCCATTGACCATGTGATGTCACACTGGATTCTGACAATTGATGATCATCAACAGAAGTACTCCTTAACATGTCAAGAAAATTCGATACTTCCTGAGCCCTTTTGCCCAATAAATGTTCACTAAATTCTGTTGACCAAAATGAAGAAAGAAGAAAAGGTTCCACAGTATACACATGAGATCATACTCTAAATTTAGTAAGTTCATATAGGGATTCAAAGCACACATATGGAAGCTAAAACAGAAAAAGAGGAATCAATGCTCCAAAACCTTCTTGCTCATCTTGTGCATATCGTAAAATCTGATTCTTGACAAGCGTTCCAAGCGTCTCGGGATCGGTCAGTTCAGGGGAAGACAGCGTATGGTCCAGCCTCTCTCTGTATTGTGAGATTGTCTTTTTCTTTTCCATATTCATATCTGTAAGAAAACAGCATCCAGCTCCAACTCAAGCGCCCGAAGAATCAGTTAACCTTGCAACTAAAAACCAAATTTGTAAATACAAGCATTAAATTCTCAGTCAAAACAGTTAAGGATACAGCCCAAAGCAAAAATCATGAACACAATTGGTTTCTATCTGCAGAATATGCAACAGTCAAAGACAATTAAGGCCTCCATGTGACTTGTACAGGCAAAAAGCATCATCCGCAAAACAAACTAAATAAACAAAAAACATGAATTTATACAAAAAAACTGCAAAAAAAAATAGGGGGGGCCACGGCTGATAGGAATGCTATTAAAACAAGAACATAAAGCCATTGAAAACTCCTCCAAAACATTCATATCTCTAACCTCATAAGATCAACAAAATCAAAGGAAAATCAGAAACAGATACTTTGAAGCAAAGTAAGCAGTCAAAGGAGTTCAACTTACATGAAGCTCATGAAAATCAAACCGAAACAAGAACATAAAGCCATTGAAAACTCCTCCAAAACATTTATATCTCTAACCTCATAAGATCAACAAGATCAAAGGAAAATCAGGAACAGATACTTTGAAGCAAAAGTAAGCAGTCAAAGGAGTTCAACTTAAATGAAGCTCAATGAAAATCAAACCGAAAACCAAGGATTCTTCCTCCAAGGAAAAATATAAGAAGAACCCAGAATCAGGAAAGTAAAATACACAAACCCAAAAGGGGTGCTGCAGATCTCAATGAAAAAGCCACTTCCTTTAAAGTTCCAAGAAACCTCTATATCTAAATCATGTTAAACAAGGCATGGGACAAAAAAAAAACACTTGATTCGAGACCGCTACAAGCAAAATTAACATGGCCAATTCTCTTCTCGGGTATAACGGATGCACGACAGTCGGCAGAATCACCAAATAAAAAAATTACAGCTTTTTCCTGCTAAACAAAATAGAGAATATTATTTTCGAACTTTTTTATTAATTAATGTAATTGGTTTTGGAATTTGGATACGGTACGGGTCTTCGGACAACTAGAAGGAAGGTCCACCAGCACTTATTTCTTCACCAAACCTTTACTACCAAATAGAGGTGGGTATACGGGTTATCCGCCTGTTTAGCCTACGGGTTTTGACGGTACGGGCTTAAATGGTGCGGGCTAAAAAGCCCGCATTCATAAACGGTTTTGAATTTTAAGACCCGCGGCCTGTCCATTTAACCCGCGGGTTAAACGGGCTTACCCGTGGCCCGTTTAATAAAAATAATTTTAAATGCTTTAAATACAATAAAAAATAATATTTTAACTTACTACACCTTTAAAAATGATCGAACAACTTGAAAATGAAGGTAGCACTGTCAAAATAATAAATAATATTTAAATTTTATTTTAAATAGCCGGAAATGATTATAAAATAATACTTTTTTTAATTTTTTAATCATTAATATATATATATATAATTATATAATTACTTAAACTCAAATTAAAAAAACAATATTCACTTATATCACCAAATTGAAAAACAAATAAAACAATAACCACATTATACTTTTATAAAACACGATTATTCAAGGCTATAATATGAATACACAGAAGTGTCTGAAAGTAGAAATTCAAACATAAAAATTTAACAAAATCAAACATTATACAAATCTAACAAGAAAGTTGTCAAGTGTTTCTAATAATTGTATTTTATGGATACTTTAGAGAAATACTAAAACATAATATGAAAATATAAAATAAAATACTTACAGTATAATAGCAAATTTGAAAGATACAATTATACTAAAATTGATAAAATATAAGTCATTAATTTGTTAAAATATATTTATTTTGTAAAAGTCTTTAAAAGTTGAAAAGTATATTTTCAATTTTTTATTTTACTTCTCTTTCTTATTTTTAATCCAAATATTACGTGTCATGTGATATATTATTAGAATATCACGTGACTTTTTATAATTAAAGAACAAAATGGATAACATACTTCATGAAAAAAAAAATAAAGGTCAAAATTAAATAAAAAAACTTTAAATACCAAAATGATAATGATGTATATTTAAATGAAAAAAATATCAAGCAACGGTAAAATTATGACAACACCCTAATAAATTTAAGAACTACAATAGTTATTGATCAATATCAAGCAATAGTAGCTTAAATTTATGACAATCATATTTATAAGTAATTTATTTTCTGTTTCTATAAAATTCTTTAAGTTTATTTTCTCTAAAATTTTATAAATTTTAAATTAAGCGGGCTTTAGCGGGTTTAACGGGTAGCCCGCGGTTATACCCATTAAACCCGCGGGTTTAACGGTCCGGGCTAAAAAGCTCGCAATTTAAACGGTCTTCAATTTTTAAGGGCCGAAGCCCGCACGGGTCACGGGTTAAACGGGTAGCCCGCGGGCCTTAGCCCATATACCCAGCTCTACTACCAAATAAAACTGAGTAATCCAATTAGTTTAGTTGATGGTTTAATATTTGGGTGAATTACACCATTCTTCACTTAATTTTACTTATTCTTAATTTTTTGTAATTTACTCAATGAACTTTGGATTTGCTTTTGTTTTATCATTCTGGATTATTTTATTATTATTTTTGTATGATGTAACATTTTTATTATTATTAAATATAAAATAATTTAAAATAAATAATAATATAATTTTTGATTATTATTAAATTTAAAAAAGACTTAAAATAATCACCAACCATCGTCGACCTTAGAAATAATTATAAAATTTATTTTTATATTAAATAATAATATATAAATGTCATGCCATACAAAAATAATAATAAAATAATTTAGTGTGATCAAAATAGGAGCAATTTGAAAGTTCAGTGAGTAAATTAAAAAAAATTAAAAATATAGTGAGTAAAATAGGAGAGAGTAAAGTTCAGTAAGGAATAATATATTTTACCCTTAATATTTTTGAAAATTAGCATTTCTTTCTTTTTATTCAAATAGTATTTGTTTATCACGAGTAGGGTGAGAGTTAGTCAAGTTATTTGAGTTTCTATGTTAATTTTATTATAATTATTTATAGTATTATGGTAAGGATTGGTTCCAATTTTTCAAATTTCTCTAACCATATAAGATATATATTTCATATTATTTTCACTTAGTGTTATCTAATATATGAATATAATCTAAAATTAAAATATATTCGCAATATATATTTTTAAAGAAAGTATTTTGAAGGTAAAATATTGATGAGTATAAATGAGTACATAAATTGATGGGAAGAAAGAATTTGAAAACAATTGCAGTCAAAACACAAAATTGAGTAAAATGCAAAGTTAAGGGACTAAATAAAAATAGATGATATATTTTCAGTAAAAAAATAAGAATTGAAGTTACATAGGTATTCTATAGTGGTATATGAGCATGTGGTTCAAATTTGATAAAAAAAAGAACTAAAAATAAAGGATGAATTGATGGACTAAATTAAAAAATAGAAAATTTATTATCAAAAAGAGGAATTGAAAGTACATATATATTCTATGATTGTTTAGTAAGATGTGGTTCAAATTTGATAAAAAAAATACTTAAAATGAAGGAGGAATTGAAGGAATAATGAAATAAGGGACTAAATCATAAAATTTTCAAAATTTTTTTTTTTTTGAGTAACTAAAAATTTACAATTTCAACTTAACTCGAACTAAAAATGAATCGATAATTCGATTTGACTCAAATAATTAGAAATTAAAAAATTAATTTTTCGAGTCGAGTTAAGTTTTGCTCAGTCCTAATCACGAGTATTAATATTTTTATTTTATTCAATTTTCAAATAATTTTATTCATAATAAGAGAAAGACATAATGATAAAAATTATTTTTTAAAGTTTATTTAAATATTTCTATTTTTTTTTTAATTTTTTAACATTTTACTTTATAGATAATATCTAAAATATGTTTTTATTTTGATATAGGCATTCGGGGCTTACATATGTTCAGTAGTTCTGTTGTGCATATAGGAATTCTAAAATTAATTTGCGACGAATTTTAATTTAAAATATTATTATATCTATTTTAAAAACTTATAGGTTGATAATAATTAGTGACGTTTTTTATCTAAAATATTGTATTGTTTAATCCAAAATGTTAAACAATGCTAATAATTTCAGTTATAATCTAGACTGTTACATAAGTTTTTTGACGATAACTTTTTAGATTACAACCAAAATAGTTATGCAATTTACGTAATTTTATATGGAGAGTATAATATTTTTAGTTTCAGCCTAAAATATTATTCAGTTTACTCTAAAAAGTTACGTAATTAATAAAATTTTCAATTACAACCTATTGTAGCCTTTTACTTTTTTATCTTATAAGAATATTAATCATTTATATTTTAGATTCCCCTATTTATGTTGCATTTACTTTTATTCAATTGTTTGGATGTATTCTAAATTTTAGGTATTTTGATATAAACAATATAAAGAATAAGTCTTATTTCGATATATGTAAAATTCAACTTTAGTAAAATTTGAATTTTTTATTGATTATGTAGGTCTATATTTTTGAAAAAATATATTTTTCTATATTCATGACTATATAATAACTATTTAAATTCAATTTTTATTATATTTAAATTCAAACTAATTATCCATGACAAACAAGTTTAGCGGTAAAACTCAACATTATTTTTTGAGGGATGGCATTTAAAAATTAAGCAAACGAAGAATATTAATATTGCTTATGATTTTTTTTTTGACAAAATAGATAACTAGAAGACGGATTTGATGTGGACCTGCACTCAAGTATGTTCATCAAATTTTATCTCGTTAATTAACTAGATATTTTTATATTAGCCTACGTAACCTGAGATCACGGTTTATAAATGAAAGATTAACGTTTTCAACCTCAACGACCAGAGACACAAGAGGAGATTGACTACAACAATCGATGCTCAAGTCTTAGAGTTTTCAATGACATGCTAATTTTTATATTATCTATATTTTAATTTTTTTTCGTTATAGCTTGTGTTGTTTTCTATATATAATATCAACATTTTTCTTTATTTTGTTTATCGGGCGATGAAACCAATTTTGATGTTGGTTGTCGTATGTCGATTCTTTTTTCTCTTTGTTTCTTTTTTAGTTTTGTCGTAACCGTCTTTCGGTTGGGCCCCGGAATTGGGCTTCGACTTGAATTGATTGGGTTAGAGTCGCCACCGACCACTTTAAAACGAATTTAGGTGGGCCGGACACCATCTTACCTGATCTGCGTTTCACCAGAAATATCTCGGGCTCGGGAGTCGGTTACGGTCAAGGAAGGATTAGCACCCTTGAACCGCCCTTTCGGTACCAATTAATTTGTCGGTTGTCTTTAAATGCGAAAATTGAAAAATTTAATTTGAAATTTAAAAATCCGATCCGAATTACTTACCTTTGATCAATGAAAATATCTCAAAAAAGTCAAAAATATGGTTTAGATTATAAAATAAAAAATAAAAACGAAAAAATATTAATATAATAATGATAAATAAAGTAAATAACAAAACAATAAATAAAAGTTAGTAAAAAAGAAAAATAATCAAAAAAATAAAATAAAATAAATGATGTAAGTTGTATGGGGTTGCATGGTTCCTCCACGTGCATGGTTTCCATGGCCGTCAACCTCTTGTTCTTCAGCAGCTTCCAGCGACAATAATTGAAAGTATATCCTATTGTGATCTACAGTTCCACGCATAGGATGTTCTCTCCATTCTTCTCTCTGCATTTATCGGGTTTGGCAGCACAATGTGTGGAACCTCGGTTATTTTCAAGTGTCCGGCGAAGGTGGCGAGCCACTTAGTTCTCAAGAGGCACAGTGGCCGGATCAACCACCAGTAATAGTGCTGCAAACGGATCAACCTTCTGGCTGTCAATTAGAGACGACGATAGCTACCTTGTAAAGGAACAATGGAGAAGTTGTCATTGATATTGAGTGTAAAACATATATTGGCGCCTTCAATT